CTTGAATCAGGGGGAGGATGGCTGAGCTGCAGCTGTTTTGATCAGCCCAATCCTCTAACATACATCTTCTGAGGAAGAGTTAGACTCTTAGTTCTTATCAAGGTTGAATTGGAGATTCATGCCAACCTTTTGAATCTTTTAATTTCCATAATTTCCATTATAGGAAGAATGTGGGAGATGGGAGTGATGGAACCATTTTCTGCCTTTATGTCCGTTTTCCTCTGAAGATTTGGAGTGGGGCGGAGAGGATGACTATCAGACAAATCATCATTATGCTTTCTAGTGCCCACACTCCAAAACCAGAAGCCCACATCTTGATCTACTAGGGCACACTGCTCATTAGGAAAGGGTTCTGCTCTCTGAAAATCAGTTTATCAAGACTTTCTTTGATAGCCTAATATAAAAGCAAGCTTTTTATATTATCCAATGTTTCTGTTCCCTCAGGAGCTTAGGACTTCTGTATCCTAACTGAAAGAAGAAATTGCTGAGAATGGCAGCTGCCATATTTAACATTAGAGAAAATGTCAAATGTCCTAGTTCTGAACTCTTAAAAGCTTGGCCTAGTTGTGTTTAATCCAGGAGAATTGACCACAAAAGATATCAAAAGGTTGATTTTTCAAGGTTCAGACTTGAGTATACAGCAAATGCTTTATGGGTCCCACTCACATCTCTTCACCTTTACCACATCAGGTCCATCCAACAGCCAACTCCTATCTCTTTTCTTGGGGGGGGGGGGTTTCTCAGCATCCCATAGGCCACCTGGATTTACTAAGTCCAGTAATAAGGAATATCTGAGAATTAACATATCTTAAAACAACTTTAAGCAACAATTGGTAGATGTTGGTGGTAAAAGTCCTGGCTCTGTTCTCTCTGGGTGACAGAATTTAGCAGTCCATGTTCCAAACAATCATTCAGATCCCCCCAAAGTCAATCCCAGCCATCCACAGTAGTAACTTGCTAACATTTTCCATGGATGCTTTCCTTGTCTCAATTCCCAAGTGGGTGGGCCCGGGGATCACCTTACAGATCAAACATTTGCATTTAAGCCATATTTATGATCTGCTTTCAGGGAAATGCAAATCAGACGTGAAGCTTCTAGGTGCTTTTTGAGTTTCTGCAAAGGAGCCAGCATAGATAGAGAACTATTTGAAGGAAAGCAAACCCAGCCAGGATTAGATGTTTCCCATCAAAGAACATTAGGCACATTTTAGGGATGCTGAGAGAACTGATGTTGGAGTTCTTTATTATAAACTGGGGCCACCTGTCGACTGTAATAACTAGAATATGAAAGTCTGAATATAGAACACAGTTAAACTGTTTACCTTTCCTTTGTGATTATATCTTTTAAGCTTAACATACTTAAATGGTGGATTTAAATTCCTAAGTACATTGTTTTAAAACATTGAAATGAAAAATACATTAGTAAGTAATATTAGGAGCTTAGTGTTCTATGTCCATTGTTATTATTTTTTGTTCTTAAACGAAAAAAATCTTTAGGTACACAGTCCTGAAAATATCTTGCAGAGATGCCAAGAAGTGCTCCATAAGCCACTTTCTAAGAAGCAATTTCCTTCTTGTCCCATAAAACTCCCCAAAGCACCTTTAGGTGAACACCAAAGCACTGGGTCTGTTTGCAAACTTCAAATACAGCAGACATTTAATTATGTTGAGTTCATCAAAGACTTAATTGAGACAGAAACTCAGACCTTATGGCTTAATTACTTTAATTTCAGATGGGTAACAGACTTGGTCTCAAACAGCCCTTTGAGCTAGATTATATTAGAGAGAGCCCCACAGGCCCCGGCTGGTAATTCTCTCAGTCAAATGAAAGTTCAGGGCCACATCAATAACAGAACTGAGTGAGTCTCATGATCAGTTTTATTAATAAGTTCAATTCCCAACATCTATCCTTGCCATGAAGTTAAACTGCACGGGCTCCACTTTCTGTGAGAGCTGATCAATATGTAAATAGCTCAAGATATGAAGTCATTTTTTATTTCTGACTGATTTTTCTTCTCATTCAACTGACACACAGACAACATAGAGGCAAGGATGAGTCTTCTGAGACCCATTATAAACCAAATTTTTCTCTTGATTTTCATTTAGAAGACTTCACTGACCTTCCCTCTCCTCACTGTGCATCTTGAAGCTCTTTTACTATTTAGTTACCCATAGAATTTGCACAAACCAGTGAATAAAGGTAGAATTTTGGGGCTGGAGCGATAGCACAGCAGGTAGGACATTTGTCTTGCATGTGGATAACCTAGGTTCGATTCCCAGCATCCCATATGGTCCCCCAAGCACCGCCAAGGGTAATACCTGAGTGCAGAGCCAGGAGTAACTCCTGTGCATTGCCGGGTGTGACCCAAAGAGCAAAAAAGGTAGAATTTTGAGGCAGAGATCCTAGGGATCATTATATTTTTCTAACAGATGAAAAAGGGTCAAACCTTTATTCAACATGTACATTCATGGTTTTTTCTTTATAATCTGAAAATATGTTTCATCCTTACAGCAATACCAGGAGGTAGATGTGCTTGTACTCTTTAAATGAGAAAGCTGAGGCTTAAAAAGACGAAGCAACTTCTCTAAGGCTGCACAGTCAGCCAACAAAGAATCAGGAGTCCAATCTAGTCCATTCTGATTTCTGAGCTATGGTACTTAGCAAAATAGTCTTTTGATTCCTCACCAAAAATTTCATGGATAAATAAAAGTCTTGGAGAAAAAGAGTTCCAGGTGGCTTTGGAACTCTCCAAGTGAGCAGAGGACAAGGAAAGTCAGGGAAGGGTTGACAATCCGTGTCATTCTATGGGCTATTTCTAACAACACTGTGGCTGCTATTCCTTTCCATGATTGTGTAGTGTTGTGAGATGAACTTGGCTAAGAACTTCCTGAGGTAATGGCAAGGTGACCACTACCAGCACTGGAAAGTTGAGGGAGCAATCTGCATTGTATGCAGTGTTTCCTCTGGGTCAGTGATGAGCAGCACTGCCAATGAATTATGAAATACAAATGAGTTCAAGCCGTTTCATAAGTAATTAGCTACATGGCATTTTGCTAGACACTTCCCAGTCATTAGTTTCATTTCTTTACATTATTTATCCTCTGATAGGCTTGCCTCTGAATCAAGTTCAGAAGACTAATGTACTAATGACAACACTAATAATAGCCAGGCTAATAGTCATACTGCTAATGTTGACAACGCTTAATGAAGAGCCTGTCAACAGCAGCATCATCAGGCTCCTCTGCAACTTGTGGCCACTCAGCAGCTCTGGCAGCGGTGAGAAGGCATCCAGCACAAACAGAAGCCCAGAAAGAGTAAACAGCACCAAAGGTAGGGACAATGAATTGTTTTAGTTCTCACTTTCTGCAGGTATTAGAGAAGAGGAGGGAACCACTATTGTATGGGTCTACAAGATCTAATACAATAGCTAATGAATCAGAGGATGAGGACCAAATCTAGAAAGTTGGGCAGAATTCAGTGGTCCTGCGTGGAAACAGCTGAGCAGTGGCCTTCTCAGAAAGATAATTACAAAGTCACAAAATCATTCATGATGGAGTTTCAGGTGTACAATATTCACTATGAGAGTCCATTTCCTTCCACCAGCGCCCCAGTTTCCCTCCTGCCACCATGCCTCCTCTAGTAAAGGCACTGCTGCCTTTTCCCTTTAGACACCAGGGTTCACAAAACCGTTACTTAGAGAGATTGCACTCATTGCTTTACCTCCTCTCAGCACCTAGTCCTCACCCAGAGTGACCACTTCCCTCTCTCATTGTTCCTTCCCTGATTTATCTCGTCTGCCCACCCAGTGGCAAGCTTTCTACTAAGGATAAGTTTTCCTTGGACCAGATTTCAGAGACCAAGGATTAAATTCACCAGATCACTCAAGTCAACCAGCATGAAGATAATGAAACTATTAAATGGGCAGTTAAGAGAATTCATGTGCTAAAGTCCATTCTGCACTGGGAACTCTGGAGAAATGCTGGGAGCTCCTTGCATTTCCAGAAAGGCCTGGAAAGGGGTATGGAAGAAGGTTCTCAGGAGATTTTCTTAACTGTCAAAATTAAGTAGCTGCTTCCAACAGGATATTGCAGGCTCCAAAACCAGAGAACTAGTTTGAATCACCAGGCTTTTCAATGCTGCAAGTACAGCCTTCAATACATTTCTGAAAAATGACTTTACTAGATGCTTGAACTGAAGACTCAGGGACTTATTGTTTCTGAGTAAAACTCCTACAAAGAATTAAGACATCGGATTGGGCAGGACCACTGCAAACCTGCAAGTACCTTTGCCCACAAGCTTCACTTTTCAGTGACTTCTGAGTGACTTCCCCAAATAGCAGAGCTCATAAATGATGGGGTAGAACAACCCTTACAATGGACTAGTCCCTTCACTAGCAGGGATAAAATGCAGGTATGCAAATCCCCTCAAAACTGGCCTCATAAGGAAGTCCAGTTAAATGGGAATAAAATGCTTAAGCTTGGTAGAAAAGAAAAGGCTGGATCCTAGAGTAACATCCAATTGTTTTAGTAATAATAATCTTCAGGCTGGAGCGACAGTACAGTGGGTGGGGTGTTTACCTTGCATGCAGCCAATCTGGGTTCAATCCCCTGCATCCCATATAGTCCCCCAAGCACCGCCAGGAGTAATTCCTGAGTGTAGAGACAAAGCCATACTGGAACTATTTTAGGTCATTCTATTTCAGAGTAGTGACAGTAAAAATGAATGTGATACCTTTAGATGTGTAGCCTGCAGGCTAGTTAATTATTTACATGGGAGCTCTGTACTCAATCGACATGGAGACCAAATAACAGCATCAGAGAAGTTTCCAGTTCCAGTTGGGTTAGCTTCCTGCAGTTCACTGAGATTCCACATCAAAGTACTCCAAGACCACTTACCCCAGGCTGACTGTGCTCCATCAAGACAGGTCTTTGTCTCACCTCCAAGTTGCACCCCACCCCCCACATAGCCGAATTCTGTCACCCGCCTCATTTAGTCTTACCTGCCCTGCAAAGAGTCCACAGACACCAATGATGCACAGGATGTTGAACACCGCTGAGCCCACGATGGTCCCAACGCCCACATCGCCCTTGGTGATGAAGACGCCTGAAACACAGACCCTATGTCAGACTGGCTTATGGCCAGCGGCATTCTACTGTGGGAAGTGTTCCTAAAATATTAGACTGGTTATTCCCAGGATCTACAGGAAACAACTGAGCACCAGAGAACAATTTGTCATCTGTACTGGGGGCCCTCTCATGGGACCCTGACACTGTATCTGGGACATGTTCTTGCAAAGTTAAGCATCACTTTAATAAAATCATCATGGCAACCACAAATGGGCTGAGAAACTGGTGTTCTGTTCCCCAGGTAGACAATCTATTTGTGGGAGGGTCATCTGCCCCTAGTGGAGGCAGGGTTGAGATACTCCCCAGATAATCACTTACCTATGACCGATGTGAATAGTTCTGGAGCTGAACTGCCTGCTGCCATGAATGTGGCTCCTGCCACGTCTTCACTGAGGTTCAGGCGCTGCAGGAGGTAAAAACAAAACCCACGTGAGTGAGAATCTCCGTCCTCCATTCAGTCTCCTGATCCCTGATGCCTGACCTCCTATAGGCCCCATGATGGTTCACTGTACTTTAGGGCGGGATTAGGGAGGAGACCTGTGCATGCAAGTTAGAGAGCCTTGACAAAACCTAGCCCCCTCCCAACTCAAGCACCCTGGGGAGTCGGTGCCCCTTGGTTACCTGCATGCCACCAAATAATCTTATTTTTTTAAAAGAGAAACTTAGAACTCCTGTTTCCCCCACCCGCAAATCTGGTATCCAGTCTTCAATCCTTGATGAAGGCTTCGGGGGTCAGGGACACTCTCTTAAAACCCATCCTACATCCTCAATGAAGTCCTAAAACCTTGGTGAAGGGAGGTAGAGGTTGAGTCTGAGTAGAAAGAGGGGGGATGAGCCCTGTTAAGAAATTTGACACTCTGGACTCTTCAGGTGGCCTTGTTTATCATCCAAAAAGTGATTTGCTACAAGAACTATACACTACAAGTTAGTTAAAATATTCAGCTTTTCTGCATTCAGTCATGGCTGAGAAGATAAGGTCAGTAAAGAGTCAATTGTTTGCTGGTGTCCCAGTTGAGAAGTTATTCTTGAATGATGCGGTACCTCTCCCAACTGACTCCAGGAGCTGCACTTTCTTGCTCAGCCATGCTCAGCCAGGGAGGAGCAGCATGGCCTCAGCAGGAGCCACAGGTTTCTCCAGTCAGCAGTAGGTGGCAGCAGGAGCCCTCAGGGAGCTCAGAAGTGATGGACTTTGGGAGTCCTGAACTGTTTCACAACCCTCCCCTCCACCCCCACCAGAAATGACCAGCTAAAATACAAACAACAGTGCTGAAAAGCCACTACAAGGACAGGTACTTCCGGCTGAAAGACATAGCTCAAGGGGACAGCCAGAATCCAGGCTCACCAAGGCAAGAATTTTGTGAAGTGTGATGGCTAAACCTAATACACCATGACCATGCTCCCTGGGTGGTTTATCAAGACTTGTTCTGACGGGGCCAGATAGATAGTTCAGAGTTAAGGCAATTGTCAGTATGTGGCTGACTCTGGTTCCATCTCAAGCACTGTTTATGGCCCATCCCTCCAAGCACTGCCAGAAACGATCCCTGAGCACAGAACCTGGAGCTCTGAGCACCACTGAGTGTAGCCACAATCCTCCCCCCTGTCCTCAAAAGAAAAAAAAAGTTACTCTGAGCCTTGCACTGCTGTGTCCACTCCCTGACAGGCCCTAGGTGCAGAGATGATGCCTTGGGCTCATCTGTGGTTCCTCTCCTCATTCCCTCTGTGCACTTTCCTCTGTGTTCTTCTGCCCTTTCTCTATCATGCCCTTTTCAGCTCTGACCCAGGTCACCTCTCTCCAGATACCTAGAGTCACCAGCTAAAGCATTTCCTGCCTTTAGCCTTCTTCCATCCACCACACTGTGTTCATTCAAAGCCTTCCCTGCTGCCTCCTGAGCATGAAGTTAGTCTGTTACCAGCAGCCTGAAGTCTCCAGTGTACCCTGCATGCTAATTCCAGTGCAGGATTTTTGCTTACACTTTTCTCTGTACAAATACCTTTCCTTACAGCATACTGTCACTGAGACTTTTCTTGCAGGAAAATCTCTAACGCTTCCCATGCATAAACCTATTCTTGAGCCCTTTGCTTAGTTTGCTCTCCCAGGTTCTATGCACCCATCCTGCCTTCACCTTGGCACTGCTTAGTGTCCTTAAATCCAAGAGTGGCAGTACTGTGCACTGTTCCTTATTTCATTAGTAGCCTTTGGGGCTAAGCATGATTCAGACAAAATCATTCACCAACAGTGACTGTGTGGATGGAATCCCATATTCAAGGACTATGTCACCCATTACCCAAATCATCACTCTGCTTCCCTGTAAAGAGACTTGGTCCAAAAATCTGCTCCATCTATCCTATCTCACTTGGATATCAGGTTACCATCATGCTCTTGTTAGCGTTGTTCTTGACATGTCTCTCTACCTGTTCTACTTTGAACTAGTTGTGTCCATCTACTGCGTCCATCTACTGTGATACTTGGCCAACTGGGCTGAGTCAGATCCAATGCTAGGGTCTGAGCATATAGTGCTGCTACATCCTTGTGGTGTCAGGGACTACTATGGCCACCCTAGCAGTGCTTGCGGGCTTCGAGGGCTACATCTGGCACTTTTCTAGGAAGCCATGAGGTGGTGGAGTTTGCATTTGTGTCTTGGCACATGCAAGCCTGCATCACAGTCTCCTGTACTATCTCCCAAGTCTTCATTGGATTTCTCAGTATTTTTGCACAATTAGTCATATGACCAATGATAAAACCTCTGGTTATCCAAAGCTTTGGGGATATCATTCCATGCAAGGGAAACTGAGGGCCAAGCAGACAAATGGCTTATTTAAAGGTGCTGTGCAGATAAGAGGGCCTGAGAGAATAGCTGGTTCTCTCCCTCCACCTTCCTTTCTTTTATTTTCTCCATTGACTTTTCTTTGCTTTCTCTTTTCCCACATTTAAATTTTTTTTCAACAATAAGGCATTTGAGAGACTGTCTGAGTTCATCATGTCGACCAAGACCATCCATGGTAACTCACAGTTCCAGAAGGCTGAATCTAAACGTTAGACATGGGAGTCTCCCGGTGGATGATTCCACAACGAAATAGACCACATCATATTCAATCGATGGTTTTGCCTGACCTATGTCGCTGTTGTCCCAAAATTCCGAACGGGATCGGACCACCCTCTCCTTCATTGTGGCAACATGGGAAGATGCCATTGTTGACAACATTGACGAGGAATACAATCGACTGGTTCAGCACCTCCATGATTGTGTGAGGAACGCCAAGAGAGAGATAGCCACAAAAAAACGCCTGTCTTCGAAAACTCTTGAGCTTATTCGCCAACGTGGTTTGACGCATGCCTCAGGCAACCGCAAGTGAACGTCTGAGCTCGCAAAGCAGTGCAGAGATGCGATCAAGGAAGACCTCAAAGAGAGAAGAGCAGAAGTGCTGGTAGATGCGGCAGAAGCTGGGAAAAGTATTTGTAATGCCCGCCTGTCCTTCGCCAACTACAAGACCAAGATGATTGCCCTCCGACGTCCTGATGCATCTATCACATCCTCCTGAATGGCAATGGAGAAGACTATCCATGACTTCTACTCAAATCTCTTCGATAACCATGTCCACTTGTTGACATACCAAATTCCACAGGATGGATATGTCGTTCCCAATGTTTTCCCTTCTGAAATCCAACATGCCATTTCGTCAGTAAAGAAATGAACAGCACCCGGCCCAGACAAGGTCAGACCTGAACACCTGAAGAACCTGCCATCAGTTCTCATCAATACGCTGGCTCGGCTCTTCACACGTTACCTGTCTGAATGCAAGGTTCCGTCCCAATGGAAAACCAGCAGAACCGTACTACTGTTCAAGAAGGGAGACATCCATGACATTGGCAATTATCGTCCGATCTGCCTATTGTCTGTCATCTACAAGTTGTTCACTCGAGTCATCCTAAATAGGATTGGCAGAACACTAGATGAGGGACAACCATGCGAGCAAGCCGGGTTCCACAAAGGATTCAGCACCATCAACCATATCCACACAATAACCAAGCTCATTGAGGTTTCTTGGGAGTTCAAGATGCCGCTCTGACTAACGTTCATTGATTTAAAGAAGGTCTTTGATTCTGTTGAGACAGAAGCGGTCATTGAAGCCCTAGCCAATCAGGGCATTCAAGCTCAATACATCAAGATCCTCCGTGAGCTGTATTACGGATTCACTACCAGATCTCACCATTCTACAAAGAAGTAATCATTGATGTCAAGAGAGGGGTTCGGCAGGGTGATACTATTTCACCAAAACTCTTCAGTGCCACCCTCGAGAACATCATGTGATGACTAGAATGGGAAGGAATGGGAGTGAAGATAGATGGTCGGCAACTACACCACCTCCGCTTTGCTGATGACATTGTTTTAATAACACCAAACATCAGCCAAGCGGCACAAATGCTGGCCGATTTTGACTGTGAGTGTGGAAAGGTAGGACTACAGCTGAATCTTACGAAGACAATGTTTATGAGAAACAGCCTCGTTCCTGACGCCCCATTTGCTCTCAATGGAACAACCATTTCTGAATGCAACAGCTATGTGTACCTAGGTCGAGTAGTCAACATGACAAATGACCTGGCACCCGAGCTGCGCAGGAGGAAGAGAGCGGCTTGGAACGCCTTCAAGAGCGTTGAAGAAATAGCTAAGAGGATGAAGAACCTCCGGCTCCGGGCACATCTCTTAGATTCCACTGTTCTTCCTGCATTAACATATGCCTCAGAGACCTGGGCCCTACGAAAACAGGATGAGAATGCTATTCGGGTCTCCCAAAGAGGAATTGACAGAGCTATGCTTGGAATATCATGTTTCACTAAATGAGAGAAAGAATCCGTGTTCCCAATGCCTCTTTTGCAGACCACAACACCCAAAAGGAGAGAGAGAACACAGGGGATTGCCCTGCCACAGAGGCAGGGGGGGGATGGAGGGATGGGGGTGGGGGGGATATTATCCATGGTGGTGGAAAATGGGCACTGGTGGAGGGATGGGTATCTGATCATTGTATAATCAAACCCAAGCACAAAAAATTGTAAATCTACAACTGTACCTCATGGTGTTTCACTAATAAAAAAAAATTAAAAAAAAAAAAAGAACCCGGAGTTCTGACAGCCGTCGATGATCAAGAATCAGGGATGCTGTCTAGTTTGCCAAGGTGTCAAAAATCAGATGGGCTGGTCACGTAATGAGATTTAAAGACGACCGCTGGACTAGAGTTGTTACTGACTGGATTCCACGGGATGTCAAAAGACCGCGTGGCCGCCCACCTACCAGATGGTCAGACTTCTTTATCAAGATCATGAACAATCGGTTTGAGGCTCTTCATGTTCCTAGAGCGAACAGAAGCCACTGGGCTACACTAGCACGTGACAGGGACAAATGGACACATTACTGGTGCCCGCTCGAGCAAATCGACGATTAACGGGAAGTCAAGTGATCAAGTGATCAAGGTATTTGAAATGGAGTGAATATTTCCTGGCCTGAACTACAGATTATTTCTCTTCCAATTCACCATTCCCAGTAGCTGAAAGCAGTAGCCTTTGGGTTCCTCTGTTCATCCCAGCATTAGCCCACCAGAAACCATGGGACATACAATATTAAATCACCAGAAAGTGAGTTGGGGATGCAGAGGGGGAGTCAGAATTCTGGGTGGAGGAGTCCCCTTAGCCACTGTGAATGTTCCCAGGATTCACCAATCTGCTGATAAAGTCTTCAGGGCCAATGGAGTATACATTTCATCACGAATCACGACCATCCTGTTATTCGTCGATTGCCTCGAGCAGGCCCCAGTAACGTCTCCTTCATCCTAGCCCTGAGATTATATTCAAGGCTCTTTAGGAGAATGAGACCCATCATTGTTACTGGTATTTGGCATATTGGGAACGCCATGGGGAGTTTGCCAGATTCTGCCATATGGGCAGGCTACATTCGGTAGCCTGCCAGTTTGTCCAAAGTAGGAATGAGATAATAAGATGTCATAATAAGATGTCTCGTGGCCGCGAATGCAGCCGCGTGGTTCCGGGAGCTGTTTTATATAGTCTCTGAGTCTTGGCCGCTGATGGGATTACACAGTGCCAGGGGTCCAGCTGGTGGGTGTGACCCCCGCCTACTGGAATTCGGAGGATCTGGGTGGAGGATGCTCAGCTCCGATCCGAGTAGGCTTGGAGATCTCGGCCCGGGTCCCGCTTGCCTTTGTTCCTCTGCCGGTACCTTCAGGTGTGCGGAGAGTGGTCTCAGCATGGTGGTGGCTGGTTCTGGAGGTCTTCAGCTGCCGGAGCCCTGGTCGGGGCGGGATGGAAAGCTCAAACCGGCTCCCTCCAAGGGGCCCCGGCGAGGACAGCCAGGCGCGGGGGCAGGAGACTGCACTGTTCTCTTCCGGGAGCTGGTTTTTTTAGTCTCCGAGTCTTGGCCCATCAACAAATCTCATAGGAAATAAAAATACATCAGGTCTCTAAATCTATATCAAACCTGTCTTTATTGCACCAAGCATTCAAGACATGTTTCCTTCTCAGCCAAAGTTGTTGAAGTGCCAGGAGCCACATCATCTTCACAGGATACTAATACAAGCACCTTTTCTTGTTCTAATCACCTTGCACTCAAGACCTGGCCCCAGTGATGGCAGCAAGGAGAACTTAAGAAATAGTGCTCCCTCTTCTTTGCTCACCCCTTCACCATTGCTGTGGGTCTCAGAGGAGAAAACAGGTCTGAGGGAATCAGCTTGATCCACTCAGGTCTCTGAGTAGTAGAGAAGGGACTGCCTGAAGACTTTGAAGTCTTGAGGCTTAAGTCGAGCGGGGTTCAAATCATGATTTCACCCCTGTCTGTGTGACCTGGGGCAAAACACACAACATCTTCAAGACCCAATGTCTAGGTCTATAAAAAAAGTAATAGTACTAGTTAGTTACCTAGTAGAGATCTCTGGGACAACAAAACAGATGCCTGGGAAATTCACACCATTCTTCATACCAACAGGGTCCATTTCTGTTACATTAGCGACTCAATGAAATGTTTAAGTGCTCTCAGTAAGCATTTTTTCTTCACTCTTCCCCTTTTAGCTTGTCTTGTCAACAAGTTCACCTGGGGTTTGGGAGATAGTTTCCAGAGCTCAATCCCAAGCTCTGCAAGCTCTCCTCCCCTGACCAGTATTGTCAACTACAGCTCTAGTGGTCCCCAAAAAACTGCCCTCCCAGAGCACCAAACCACTATGCCTGGCCATCACTGTTGGGCTAAGTGTCAACCAGAATGACCCCTGGCCTGTCAGCACTGCCAGGTGTGATGCTCTATTTAAAACAAAAAAACAAACAAACAAAGAAAAAACAACCCTCATCCAGTATATTTTTAAAAATTGATTTTGGCTTTGGGCCACACCCTGTGATATTCAGAGTTTACTTCTGGTTTTGTGCTCAGAATTTAATCCTGGTGGTCCTCGGGAATTATACAGATGCTGGGGATAGAACCTTGTGGTCACATGCAAGGCAAATTCCCTGCCTACTGTACTATCTCTCCAGCCCCTTGTCCAACATCTATTAATAAGATTTTCTTGCTCTCCAGTTGCTACGGCCTATGGTGTGAGTTCACAGGTCTTAAGGTTTTCTTTAATTGTTAGATAGGACACATTGTGGGAACAGTATGCACATTTCTAGAACAGGGTATTTTTTAATTTTGTTTTTCACAAGAGGTTTTCATGGTAAAGAGGCAGTAGTTTACTCTGCATGAAGAAAAAACATGTGGGGTATGTCTGAGAGCAGGACAATTCCAAGAGCTTCTGACTTTTACTCCATAGACCACCCTGTTCTCAGAGCAAATCTCTCTAGGAAAAGAACTTCTACATTCAAAGGTTCAGATGCAGCATTTGTTCAGCTCAGCTATAACCTCATTCACTTTCCTCCTCCTGCTACCACCACACAGAACACCTCCTCACCCACTGGGGCACTCTAGGATTCTATGTAGAATCATTCTTTTATTCTAACAACAAAAATCAAAAGGCTTCCAGGAAATAGAAACAACTGCTCCAACCAGTAAGTGTTGTTTACTTTTTTCCCTCAAAGTGGGGTTTTTGAATCCCAAACTCAACATCACTGAAACCCATTGAAAATGCAATGCCCCCCCCTCCTGCCCCAAGACCTAATGAATCCAACCCCTACGGGGAAATGGAAGAGAGGGATGTCTAAGTTTGAAAGACACACAAAGAAACCTGAGTTCTAGATGGAGGGTGTATCTGGGAAAGGTCCTTCATTAAAAGTAAAATAAAATGGAAAGTTTCCAGAGAAAGGAAAGTACATTTCAAAAATAGACAAAGACATGAAAGAATCAAGAGAATGAAAGAATTGTAGATGTGCTGAATATTTTCTGATGGAAGGAACTGAACTTGATATGTGACCTGGTGTTCACTGGGCTGATTTCTAAGAGTCTTTTTCTTGGTCTCTGTGACCAATTCTTCTATCACCTTTTGGCCCCCTACTTAGAGTGTTTCTCTACATATATTTGTAGGAAGCATGACCGGAATGTGTGGTTGGGGATTTCTTATACTGTAAGGATGCCTCCATGAACCATTAAAGGAGAGTTTCAGTAACAGACGGAAATGGAGGAAAGTAATATGGTGGAAGTGAGAGGCAGAAAGGAAGATCATCATTTTAAAAAACAAAGAAAATGAACTTTAGAATAAATGCAGAGAAGTTAACACACAGAGCACCATGAGTTCAGTTAAATTGAGTGGTGGAGAACTCGGCTAAGTGGGGTAATGTTCCTATCTAAAAATTCCAAATAGGTTTGTGCTATTTTTTTCCTGATATAGCCACCATCTTGAAACATGAGCAAGCCTGGTATTCTACCTCAGGCTTTCTGGAGGCTACCACTCCCAGAACTCCTAGAATGGGGCTGAAGCAAGACCAAGGCTGACTCCAACAATCAAACAGTTCAAGGCACATACCTCACAGATTTTTTCCAAGGAGGGGACAAAGAAGTCGTCACACACAATGGCCAGTGCGTAGAACATGTACATAGCCTGTAAGAGAGGCAAGAAAAGTTAGGGTCTGTGCAGGACCAGGAGGATTAGCTTTGCTTCAACATCATTCTCTGCCATTATGAATTCAACACTTTACTCAGAGTAAGTATAAAGTCTTTGCTATGCCAGTGAGGTCCTGCATCACTTCATCAATCCTCCCTGACTTCCTTACTTATGCTTACCTCACCCTTGTCCATCTAACTCAGAGTCTACCTCAGGGACTTTGTATCAGCTGTTTCCTCTACTCGAACCTTTGCTAACTTTATTATGTCCTTTAGGCACCTGATTCAATGTCAACATAAGCAAGAGTCTTAGACCCTTCCCCTTCCTCCCACTTCTCTCTATTCCCTTATACTGCTTTGTTGCTTTTGAAATAAATGTTAATTATTCTGTGGTTTATCTCCCTGTCTGGAATACCATAGAATGTGAACCTCATCTATCTCAGTTCCAGCTCATCATAGGATATAGTGCATAATATGTGTTCAGTAAATACACGCAGAATAAAGGAAGCAACATATTCTTCTAATGAGTCACTCTCCTGTGCCTATGCAACCTCACTTTCTGGTCTTTGTGATAAGGGAATCCTTTATAATTTTATATTTTGGCCACAAATCACTCATCTAACTTACAAAACTCTGTATTTCTTATTTCATGGAATATTGTTCAGATTCCATTATTGGTTAACTTCTCTGCATTTATTCTAAAGTTCTTACTAGTGAAATCCTTTTGGGGGAGGGTTGTTGGACCACAGCTGGCTGTGATCTAGTCTTAATATGTGCTCTAGGCTCAACAATCTCTCCAGGCAGTGCTTGGGACATCATATGTGGTACCAGGGATTTAACCTGGGTTAGTTACATGCAAAGAAAGTTTCTTACCCCATTGCTATCTATCTAGCCTCATGGGACCATATTTTTATCAAAATATCCACCATACTCCATGTGGATACCTTTTTCTTATAGAAGCTGATACTTGGTCAATTAATATGTAGCATTTCCCAGTGCTGGAGATTGTCTTAAGGATGAGGACATTGTCTAGTCTGACCCAATTTGATGGCAAGAAAGGATTTATAGTTCATACCAGAAGAATGTTTCCCTTTATAAGGAAGCTATATGTTTGGCACTGACAGACACAATGAGGGATCTGATGCTAAGTTGACTATGTGTCAACATGCAACTCTGAGTCACTAATCATGTGGTGTTATAGTTCACCATGCCTCTGAATTTTATAACATAAAATATTGGCAAACTGGTATGATTGGCAGTTTCCCTGTAAATTGCAGTCCAAAGCTTCTAACAGAGGTGGTTCTTCAAGTTTCAGAATCTTAAGTGGTGTCATCTCTTTCATTTTGAACACTTTGCCTTTTCTTTTTGAGAAATTCCCCATGGCAGGGCCCTTCAGTCACATATTCCTTACTTCTCTGAACACATAATACAGGAACATGATCTAGTCTAGACATCATAACACTCAACTCTTGGTCATGTAAAGATGGGTGGACCAAAAGTTTATAAAAAGCTGGGTGTGAATTCATAGAGAAGCTGGAGGAAGGGTTCTCTCCCTATGATATATAGCTGCCATCCAAATCTGGAGTGGCCAAGTCAGTCTTTCTGAGACTATGCTTACAGAGTAAGAAGCAATACCAGAGATGAGACAGGTACATAACCCCACAAAAACAAACAGACATGCAGACACACACATGCACACATGCACGCTCACACAAGTGTCTGTAGCCAGTTTAGCGTAAAAAGTAAGCAATTTTTACAATTTCATGAGCTTATATGATTTTTATGTTTAATTTGATTGAATTGAGTTTCTTCACTGGTAGCTGTCCTTCATTACCTCTGTGGCAACTCACGCATGGAACAGTCTTCCTGGCCTTTAGCTCTTGGCTGTTAGACTAACTGATCATCTTTACGCCCTTTACCAGCTTGTTTCATGTTCACATATGTTCACTTGATGATTTTCACCAGATTATAAGATTTCCAAGTGTTTTTAATATTTTATTCTATGGAAATATGACAAATGTACAAAAATGTATGCATTAGGGAATATTCATTTCAAAATGCTGACTATAAACAAAGGATTAAAATCTAAGAAACTATACTACGGGAGATGAGTTATATAAACTATAATTTAGTAAAATATGATTAAATAAAATACTGTTAAAATGGATTGTGTAATTTCATGTTTAATGATAAGGAATTTTTTTACTGTTGTTAAATAAATAGATGAAAAAGTGTGTATAGTCTTCTTTATTAAATTATCTATATTTGAGAATGTATACATCCTTGTAAAAGTATACCTGCATGTGAGTTTGCAAATGAAAATAGTTTCTTCTTTGGTGGATATGAGAATTTTATTATTATATTCATATTTTCTACTGACCCACTCTGAATGTCCTTGTGTGTCTTTGTTGTTGCAGAATATTTCAAAAATAAGTTCACTGTTCTAAACTTTCACAATCTCTTAGGAGCTTGTGAGGCTTGATACAGAGGTAAGGCCCCAAAATAACCTTTTATCCGATTACCCTATTCAAAACTGTACAAATTATTTGTCTGTGAGTTTCATTTTGGGAATAATGTCAATTAAAAATGAGTGCTATATTTTATAGCTTTGTGGATCAGTCAGAATATATATATATATATTCCCAAGTTGTAGTGGACTCAAACCGTTCCTGCTGTATGACTTGGCTGATCCAATGATATACAAGCATTATCATTATCTTTGAAGGACATCTGAACACTGCAATTGGAATTCAGAGTTGCACATTTGTAGGCTGACCAAGATCTAAATAAGATGTCGGTATCTGGAAGGCATACTCAGGTCACTGAAACAGTACATGATAATAAATCAACTCTTCAGGAACACTCCCCAATATTAGATATTGATCCTTTTGTTTTTGAGGCAAGAAGCTCCTTTTAACATTATTGCAATAGCAATGCTTGGATTGAGATGAGAAATAAACAGGTCTGTCAGGCTTGTGTGCTTCAAGGGTGATGGCCATGAAGGCATTGTGAGTTCTGCAAAAAGCATGAGGTATTGAGCATCCCATCCTCAAGCATCTCTGGGATCTCAGAGAGGCCTCATAGGCAAAGAGGTCCTTTCTGGCTACATGGTACCTCCAAGCATCTAAGAATAAATGTACCTGCCAGAGCTTACCAAAAAAACAAAAAACATTATAACTCTGCCACTTTATCCACTGAAAAAACATATTTCCATTGAGAAAACAGGCAAAACAACCAGGTGTTGATTTGGAGTGAGGGAAGGCTCTGCATGTGTCGGGGTAGAGAATTCTGTACCTTCTGTTCAAACTTGCTATAATCCCAAAATTACTCTAAATATATCTATGATTACTACGACCATGACTACTTCTACTATGAAAAAACTAACACACTGGGGTTGGAGAGATAGTTCAGTGAGTAAGGTGCTTGCTTTGCATGTGGCTGACCCAGGTTTGATCTCTAGCATCCCATATGGCCCCTGAGAACTGCCACAAATAATTCCTAAGTGCAGAGTCAGGAGTAACCTCTGAGCACCACCATGTGCTCCCCAAGAAAAAACAAAACCCCCTAAAATAAAAATAAAAACACACAAAAATGAATAGAGTAAAGGAATAAGACAAAGGCACAAAATCAAACTTGAAGATACAGAAACTGTACTAGAAATGTAATACTGATAATATTACATACAATTTCCCCAAATATCTTAGAGAGGGTTGTATTTTAGCACTTCTACATTTCCAAAAGCTGGCATTATGAAGATGATACAGGGATTAAGGAACTTGCCTTCTATGCAGCTGACCCTAATTCTACCCTAGTACCACAAGGTACTGCCCTTTGAGCCCAGAGCCAGAGTAAGCTCTGAGCATTGTTGGAAGTGATCCCACTGAGAGAAGAAAACCCTCTGTTTCTGAAGGCTACAATAATTTAATAAATGATGATGATACTACCACTGTTAATAAAATTTGCCACTATTTACTGGACAAAGAATTCTGATGAGTACTCTAAAAGTATCTCTAATTCCTATGCAAAGCAGGAGTTACTGATCTCATGTCCCAGCCAACTCTGAGTATCATGACCTATCCAAGGACACTGAGTCAACAAATAGCAGAAACGAGATTTGACCTCAGGATTCCCTTCCCCCACACCTTCCCATGGAACCTGTGGTCTTCCCATACACAGGTCATTTCTGAATTCCACCACATGCCCAATTTTCTATTTCCAGTTTCTATACTAGGAAGATGTATTCTCCAAACACACACACACACACACACACACACACACACACATACACACGTAATTTCAGAATCCATTCCCCACACTTGGGGTCTATTAGAACCCTGGATATCTCTCCCTTTTTGCAGGGCACACTTGTTGGTGCTCAGGGCTTACTCCTGGCTCTGTGCTTAGAAACCACTTCTGGAGGGGTTTGATGGACAATGTCTGGTCTGGAGAACTGAACCTGGGTCAGCCACATGCAAGGTAAGCACCCTACCTTTTGTAACATCACTCCAGCTCCAGATATTTCCATTAATTTTGTTTTATAAGTTTTGTTTTAGAGGCTGAATGTTAGTACTTCAGGTAGGGTCATTGCTTTGCATATAGCTGACCTAGATTCAATCCTCTGCACCTCAGGTGGTCTCCTGAACACTGCAAGGAGTGAGCCATGACTGCAGAACCAAGGGTAAATAAGCCATGAGCACTGATGGATATGGTCTCAAAACAAACAAAAGTTTTATTTTAATGACACATAAGCAAATACATTATTCAAATAAATGTATAAATACAATCAATTTGAACATGAATGAATTCTAGTTATCTTTTTATTCTTAATAAATTCCTCCTTTTACATGCATTTTCCTGTATGACTGAATGGACTATGAGCATTACTGAAATGAGAATCTTTGAACATAAGATTTAGAGGAAGAATTTTTTTCTTTTTTTATTAGTGAAACACCATGAGGTACAGTAATAGACTTACAAATTTTGTGCTTGAGTTTCAGT